GTGTACTGTGTGCCAGGTACCTGGCTAAGTGTTTCAAGTGAGTTACCATGTAATATGTCATATGACTATTATTTTTCCCATTTTACAAATTAAGTAACTATGTCAGAGAGGTGACAGCAATGCCCAAGCACATGCATTCTGACTGCAGTGAAGCAAAGGTTCCAGTCCAGATCAGCTGAATTCAAAACTGTGCTTACCACCATCACTGCCTCCCATACATAAAGATGGGCGCTGTGGCATAGATTCTTATAGGATGCTATTAGAAATAGCTTATTTGTGCAGAAATAGGAAAATGGTTACTTAAAGTTTGGTGCATCCATCCGATGGATTATTGCAACATATTAAAAGCCATGATGCTTACAAAAATGATATCGTATCCATGGGACAAATTAGGATACAAATGATTTAGAGAGCATATTAGCAATTCTGTTTAAAATAAAATTAGGATTAGAAATAATCTGGAAGGAAAAGACCCACACAGAGAACACATCTGTAAAAGCTTTGCATAGGGAAAGAAAAAGAAAAAAAAGAACTTTGTATGAAAGGACTTTGGCAGGAAAGATCTCTATACTAACACTACATCTTTGGGTAGGGAAACTACTGATGACATTTTTTTTCTTTCAGCTCAACTTTTTGAAATCTTCTGAATAAGCCAAATTACTTTTATGTTAAAGACGTATACTTGGGTCAAAAGTTTTACAATGTGTGTTTATTAGACTATTCTTTCAACTCTAATGAAAGTTTTATTTTTTCCTCAAACTAACTATCTGGGCTGAAACCAGTTTGGCTCAGTGGAAAAGTGTGGGCCTGCGGACTGAAAGGCTCCAGTTCTATTCCGGTCAAGAGCATGTACCTTGGTTGCAGGCACATCTCCAGTAGGGGGTGTGCAAGAGGCAGCTGATCGATTATTTTCTCTCATCGATGTTTCTAACTCTATCCCTCTCTCTTCCTCTCTGTAAAAAATCAATAAAATATATTTTTTAAAAACCCACTAAATATTTGGGGTAAAGGTTAATTATTGACACTCATTGGTTCCTTTCCAGAACATTTATATGTCATGGGGGAGAATTTTTTTGTGTCTTATTTATGAAAGATGCAGGTATTTCTTTGCTTACGCTACAAACTAAATACTTTTTAAAGGATTTTTCCTTTATTTTTTATTTTTTGTTCATCCTTGCCCAAGGATATTTTCTCATTGGTTTTTAAGGAGAGTGGAAGAGAGAGGGAATGACAGAAACATCAATATGAGAGAAACACATTGATTGGTTGCCTCCTGCATGAGCCCTGGTCAGGAGAGGAGCCTGCAATCAAATTACATGCCCTTGATCAGAACCAAACCCTGGACACTTTAGTCTATAGGCTGATTCTATCTACACAGAGCCAAACTGGTTAGGGCAAAGATCTTTTCTAAATCTAATGACAATGAACTGTAAAGCAGTCTGTATCATGGTGATGAAATAAGTAATTTTAAAAATGAAATACACATTAGGTGCTATCATAAGTATACCAAGTGTTTAAGGAAGGGACTTGTCAATAGTAATATATATTTAATTATTCTTTATTAATATATTTTTTCCTTTATTTTCAAAAGGATTCCTTTCCATTGAAAGTTCGTGGTATCCATTTGATAAACGAGCCAATAATTTTTCATGCTGTCTTTTCCATGATTAAACCATTCCTGACTGAAAAAATTAAGGAACGGGTGAGTGAATCATATTCATGTCACTATTCCTCTCTACCAAAAGTTATAATCCTTTTTAATTTAAGAGCTGCTTTATTAAGCACCCACAATCATTAAGCTAATATTTTGAATATTTATCTAACACGCCAAATATTCTTATAAATTAACTAGAGGCTCGGTGCACAAATTCATGCACGGGTGGGGTCCCTCGGCCAGTGGGTGATTGGGGCCGTTTTGGGCCAATTGGGCCCAACTCACCCAGTCCTGATTGGGGAAGATGGGGGCCAATTGGCCAGGGAGGGATTGCAGGAGGGCTCCATGGCATGTCTGGCCCTCTCACCCAGTCCTGATTGGCTGAACCCCAGCAGCAAGCTAACCTACTGGTTGGAGCATCTGGCCCCTGGTGGCCAGTGTGCATCACAGCAATTGGTTGAGTGGGTGACTAAATGGTCCATCATTTGGTTGGACACTTATTATCTATACTAATAAAAGAGAAAGATGCAAATTGACCGTACCTTTGTGACACCCACCAGCCAATCAGGAGTGAGTACACAAATTAAGCCAACAAAGATGGCAGATTTTGGGCTGCATAGGAAGGCAAAAGGCGGTTCTGGCCAGAGTGAAGGTGGTGCCAGCAGGGGAAGGAAGGCCCATTCTTGCACAAATCTTCATGCATTGGGCCTCTACTATAGGATATTTCTTTTTAATTTTGGAAAATCAAGTTAGTCTGTGAGGTAACTGGACCTCCTGCACATTGCTGGTGGGAGTGCAATATGGTGTATTCCCACTAGAGGGCAGTTTATAATAGTTATCAAAATTACAGCCTTTGTGCTTCTGGCAATTTATCCAATCCACACATATAAACAAAATTGCAGCAAAAGATTGGAAACCACCAAGTGTTCACCATCAGGAGACTGGTTAAATGAACTGTGAGACGTCGACACAATGGAATACAACAAGATTGGTAGTAATGTGAAATAAGCTAAATGCAGAAGAGCATTTATGTTATGCTACCTTTAAAAAAAATATATATATATACACACACACACACACACACACACACACACACACATTTTCATTGATTTCAGAGAGGAAGGGAGAGGGATAGAGAGAGATTGAAACATTATTGATGAGAGAGAAACACTGATTGGCTGCCCTCTGCACGCCCCCCCCCCCCCGACCCCCCACTGGGGATCAAGCCCGCAACCCAGGCATGTGCCCCTTACCAGAACTGAACCTGGGACTCTTCAGGGGTAGGTCTCGGCCCATCCTCCGCACTCCCGCTGGCCCCTCCCACCATGGTCCCCAGCCCCCTGTCTGCCAGCATCCCTGCTCTTGCCACCACAGCTCCCACATGCTGATGGTGCTGTCTCTGCTTGCACCCACTGACAGCATGGAGCGATTGGGACAGGCACCAGCAGTGGGTGCAAGTGGGGCCATCGCCGGCGGCAGGTGTGAGTGCCAGGCAGGACCACAGTGTACAGGAGCAAAGACTTTTCATTAATCACCAGAGGCTCACCCCGATGACAACTGGCACCATGCCTTGATCTGGCGCCCCCCCCCCGCCCCCTCACCTCCTCCACTATCCCACCACAGCCAATGTCCACCATGTTCCACACATGCCCCCTGGTGGTCAGCACATGTCATAGCAACCAGTTGTTTGGTTGTTTGGTTGTTCCTGTTGTTCCACTCTTTGATCTATTTGCATATTAGCCTTTTGTTATGTAGGATTGTTGCATGTATAGATGAACATTATATGCTTTTGGTCCAAGGTTCCAAATCTTTACTTTAACTTGGGCATTATATGATTGATTTTTATAGTATAAAATATTTGAAATTTTAAGGCTTTTAACCATCATAACTGTCTCTTAATTTTGTACTAGCCAAGAATATCCATCAAATGTATCACATAAATTATTTCCCATGTACATAATTTTATGCTTTTATTTTATATGGAACTAGAGGCCCAATGCACAAAATTCATACGTGGGTAGGGTCCCCAGGCCTGGCCAGTGATCAGGGCTAATCCGTGGGGTGACGAGCAGCGTGGTCAGGGGACCCCCCACTCCCTCTGGCACCTGCCTTTGCTGGCCTGGGGCCTGTGGGCTTGGGGCAGCTGCTGCATTGAGTGTCTGCCCCCTGGTGGTCAGTGTGCATCATAGTGACCTGTTTTCCACAGGTCATTCGCTGTTTGGTCAATTTGCATAGTAGTTAATTATATAGGATAACACCTGATAGGACATTTTTACCATCTACAGAATAGTCCCAGTATATTTGATATTTTGTTAAGAATCATTTGTACATGAAGGAATAGAATGTATAAAATATTTTTTTGAGTTTTAAAAGTATATTTGTGAAAGAGGAAGATAATTTTTTTAAAATAAATCTTGTATAATTATAAGAATGCAAATATAAGAAGATAGTAAGATCAGATTCATAAGCAGCATAATCTAAACAAGTAAAATTCTTAGATTCATAAGTAGAGGAATAAAGGATGTACTATCAATACATGCTCTTCTATCTTGGAAGTTATTAGAGTAGGTACCTTCTTTTATGATGTTGATTTTCCACTGGAAATTCATCTAATGTATCAAAAGGCAGAAGACAAATCTAAAACATTTTGGCTATTTCAGATTCATATGCATGGGACCGATTTCAAACAAAGTTTATTTCAGCATTTCCCAGACATTCTTCCTCTGGAATACGGTGGTGAAGAATTCTCCATAGAGGATGTTTGTCAAGAGTGGACAGATTTTGTAATGAAGTCTGAAAATTATCTCAGCAGTATTTCACAGACCAATCAATAAGAACTATGGGAATGCCTTGCTAATTAAAAATACAAATGAGTGAGATCCTCCTACCTCATTACATGAACAAAAAAAATCTGTTTAACTAATCAGTGCTCTGATTGATCTTTTGTAAAACTCTTCTGACATGAGCATCATGGGTATTTAGGAAACTATTTTTTAAGTGCATTTTCTTTACCTTGGGAGTAATAAATGTTAATATACTTAAAAGCATAGCTATTTCCTGATTTTTACACTTAAAAGTTATCTCTAAAGTAGCTATTCATGTGTGCCTTTAAACAAGTTCTCTGAGTACACTGGTTTACAAACAAATGTATAAATAGCCACTGGAAAAAACTATTAGCACAAATCAACTGATGATAAACATTTATTAGTGGCCATTTTGAGTGGGTAGACTATAATTCAGATTAAAATCTGAATGTAGTTTACTATATTTACTTTCCTGTGGGCCAGCAAGATAGTCCATCTCAGGGAAATTCTATCTTAGCATATTTGCACAATAGAGGCTGTTGATGAGAGAGTGTAGATGGCTTAAGTTATTGTATGTAGCATCTATAGGCCTCTCTGAAATGATTCATGTTGACATAATTGATAGCCAAAAATAATTTTGGAAATATTTCAGGCAGAGTTAATGGCTTCTTAATACTGTGTCTGCATTTTCAAACAAAGCAAGAATGTGATTTTGACTTCTGTTTTTGGTTATTCTTATCATGATTGCATAGATATTTAGAGATAAAATAATTAGCTGTTATGTACATAAACTCTTTTTTTTAATGGAACAATAACACAATTACAAAAGGAAAAGGGTATGTTTACATTTTAAAAATCACTGTCAAATATATCTGGAACTTTTCAGATTACTCATAAAATAATTTGAGTTATTATTATATCAGAAAATCCTACGATTCACATTTACTTAAAAAACAAAACGAAACAACAACAGTAGTTAAAATGTGCTGTTTGTACTGTAGTTAAGATAAAGAATATTTCATTTATTGAGAACCATATAAAGGTATGGCTTATAATTGATGACAGTGTTTATAATGTTTTATAATTTTTAAGTTTTATTTTAAACTGGGAAATTAAAGAACACAGTGTGCAGAAGTTGATAGACATTTGTTCAGCTTGGTTGGGTTTCAACATAAATCATCCAATTGTAGCTCTGTGAAAGGGTATATAAATGGTGTTTTTCTTTATAAGAAAATTATTCCAATCAGGTGAGCTGATACTTATGATTCTTTGTACATATATCTATGACAAAATTGAGAATAATTTTGAATGTTCTCTAGAGAACGTATTTTATTTTGGTTTAGCATTGGGAAGCTAATTTTACATGGTGATTTTTATTTAAAAAAATTAGATGGTGCCTGTTCTCTGAAAAAAAAAAGTTAGTCTTCTTTGCTAATTATACAATTTAAAATTGTATAATTAAAAAAATAACAATATCATTTAAAAGGAGTAAACAACAATAACTAGCTCTGGTTTACCCAACTTTTATTCCTAGAAAGAGGTTTACATAACGAAGTTTCTTTTCATTTACCCTTGGGTACTTAAAACACTTACTTCCACCTGGCTTTGTGGAGTGATTATGTGAGCACATGAATAACGGATGACATTTAAAAATGTCTTTTAAGTGTGATTCATTAGTGATGTTATTAACAACAAATAAGAGGACATTTCATCGTGGGACTTTGAAATTTGTATAAAATGCAGCAATTCACTGAAGAACATTAGATGAACAATGTGAAATTAGCAGGCAATTTTATAAGGTGGCAAGATAAGTAGCTATCAGATTGTCTCTATTGCTTAACTGTAATTGAACCAGAAGTGCCTTTTAAAGATGATTTCAAACACATGATTATGGTGTTACTGAACTGCACAATAATTTGTTTTATTATTGTTCAAAAGAAAAATAAAGATCTTTCACATAAACTATAGCTGTTTCTTTTTGCATTCTCTTTTCTTTGCATTCTTTTGGGAAAAAACCCGCTTTTCCTGGAAGAAGAGTTTTATCACATCCAGTTGTCCCTTACACAAATGCCAGTTTTTTCTTCATAAATTTTCATGGCCAGTTTCTGCTTAATTCAACACCCCTTTCTGCTAATGTCTTTTAATGTGCTTACAGAGACCACGACTAATTTTATAAAACTAAGCCATGTTTACTCAGTTAAAGCTTCCGAATGAAATGAGCCAGTGGGTGCCACTTAATAAGTTGATTTTGAAACAATGAACTGTTAGCCTAGATTATAATTTTTAAATTTTTTTTATTGATTTTACAGAGGAAGGGAGGAGGAACGAGAGATACAAACACCAACGATGAGAATCATTGATTGGCTGCTTCCTGCAGGACTCCCATTCTGGGGATCCAGCCTGCAACCCCAGCTTGTGCCCTGACTGGGAATTGAACCAGGACCTCCTGGTTGATAGGTCACTAAAGTTTTACATATGGTAAAATCCTAATTACCCCTCACAGCAATACCCTTTTCTTAGCTCCTATGTGGTAGAAAGGATAACCCTATGGTGAAGAATTATCTATTATCTTTCGTTGCCTCAAATGACAACTGTGTCTTTCATTTGTCAAAGCAGAGCCTATCAATAGCTCCTAGCGTACTTACTGGGCAGACTCAAGTTAACCCAGCCAGCTTCTTCAACTACTTCAATTCCTCTCAGACCTCTTGCATGCCTATCAGGTCTTTGTGTATTATGCTTTCAGAGAGGAAGGGAGAGGGAGAGAGAAACATCAATGATCTGAATCATTGATCAGCTGCCTCCTGCACACCCCACACTGGGGATTAAGCCCCCAACTTAGGCATGTGCCCTGACTGGGAATCAAACCTTGACCTAGGTTCGTAGGTTAACACTCAACCACTGAGCCATGCTGGACAAGCCCTTTCACTGGTCTTGCCAGTCCACTAAGAGCCGTGGACTGAAAATGATGTAGAGGCCACCACTAGACTGGGACTGCCTTCTTCCTCTCAGCGGCTCTGAGGGCTCCCTAAAAGGGAAGCGGAGAGCTTGGTGGGAGATCTCGAGGACCTGACTGCTACATCTGATCACATCTGAGCCACCTTTATGTCTGTAGCACATGCACTATGGGCTTCTCAAAGGGTTTGAAACTCTCACATCTTCCAGGAGATAAAAATTACTGTAAAGCATGTAATAAAGAATATCCATTTTCTCACCCAAGAACTTAAAGACTCAACACCAAGTGCTCCCAAACTGACTGATTTTGGGTCCCAGAGGGAGGACATGTGCTTTGTTTGGAAGCAATTGCTGCATATTTGTTCTCCCAAACTTCTCTGAACTCTACATACTGGTATAAACGAGAACAATCAAGTTGCTAACAAAGAAATTCATCTGTGTCCACTGTAGGTCTGACCCCATCATTGAAGGATCTTTCCGTACTAATCTACAGGATTCTACTAGATCGGTTACTATCTGGCCTCAGGTTCAGGTGTTACTCCTTATTACAACTTCTAAAAATCTTTTTTTTTTTTTTTTTTTTTTTTATCCCCGAATTAAATGCCTTGTCTCCAGTACCCTTCTCACTTCCAGACCACTGTCCCAGCACAATAGATGCTCCAGCTTTTTCTCTAAGAACAGCATCAACAAGCTCTGGCGTGGTAATTGGTAGAGCATCGTCCCAATACACCAAGGTTTCAGGTTCAATTTCTGATCAGGGCACATACAGGAAGCAGCCAATGAGAGCATGGGCGGGTGAAAAAAACGATCGATGTTTCCCTCTTCTTCTTCCCCCTTCCTCTCTCTTTATGAAATCAGAAGTTACAATTTTAAAAAAGAAGAACATCCACAAGAAATGCTGACTTTGTGAACTCTTCCAGGGAACCTTGGCCAAAATCCCACAGAAACGATTCTATCAATAACTCCAAAGACTGTTCTAAGACAAACTATGTTTGTTTGACAAGGCCAATAAACACAGACCCTTCTCTTGTGCCCAAACCTGCTGACAAAGCCAGGTGCGGACCCTCCAATTTCCCACTCTATCTCATTATGGACTAGCACTGTGTGTAAGGATTGATTAGCTAAGACTGGAATTCTTGTTCCTCAGGAAACTTGCTAACTACAGAAAAAACACATTTCCTGCTTAGATATCTGATTGAGACACCGCCTGCTTGCAAAACAACCCTTACTGTAGGTCTCCAGTATACCACATGTTAATTTGTTTCCACAAGAGTCTGAGGCAAAAACCACCCTACTGAGAAACTCTGATCCTCAGATCTGGGGTGCTCTCCGTATTGCAACATCAACCTTGTCACTTGTCCGGTTTCTGTCTTTGACAGAAGCCATACAAACATTGTCTGTTAGGCAGGTGGTCTGTCTGGAAAGATTGTGAGCTACAGAGGATTTCTGGAAAAGACTGTGAGCTACCATTTAACCTCAGCTTTATTTAGCCCCTTGATACAGGAATGTTTTGTAGACACCAAGAGGTGACTGGACCTCCTTTAATGGTCTCTGCCTTCACCCAGTTACTGCGTTGAGACAAATTTCCCATCGAGCACACACACAACACACACATACACACAATAAAACGTTGATAAATGATGTAGACTTCTAGTAAAGCTTTCCTGTAGAAATGGAAAGAGGGCTAACTTGCAAACTACCCAGCAAAACCTTGAAGTAACTTTAAAATATATATATATATATATTTTATTGATTTTTTACAGAGAGGAAGGGAGAGGGAGAGCTAGAAACATTGATGAGAGGAACATCGACCAGCTGCCTCCTGCATACCCCCTACCAGGGATGTGCCCGCAACCAATGTACATGCCCTTGACCGGAATCGAACCTGGGACCTTTCAGTCCGCAGACCGATTTTTTTGTTTCTTACAGGATCCTTATTTTCCCCCTCGTATCCTTCTTTCCCTTCACTGCCATATCATTAAGAGACACCTCACCCTTGTCAATGAAGTTGATTCTCCCTTAGAAGCAATACTTATCTAAAGCTGACAATTCTAGTTCCACTCATTTTCAAGACTCTTTTCCTGTAATTAGTATTATAATCTACCGAGGTCCAGATTGTGTCCAATATTATAGCACTTCATGTTCGACATTTTCTTTCAGGATTAGATTTTGCCCATGCTTTGTCTCTATCTTCCACTCTCCTTTTCTCTTTATCAAAGATTCTCTGAAGACTTGTCTCTCCCACTCAAGATCTAGTCTTCGAGCTTTGATGCAATTTGATACTTATCAATATTCTAGTAATTTGATGTTTGTGGTGTTTGTCCTCTATCTCTTAGTATCACTAAAGGCACGGAACATGTGTAATTTCATTCGTCCTCCTTTTACACCTAACTGATTTTGAAGATGTGTGGAGCGATTCTGGTTTAGGCATTCGCCATTATCTTTTAGACCCAAGCATAATTTACCCCTTTATCTCTCAAAAGAACTTGATCTCTGTTGAAAAGCATCTCCAATTCATTCATTTTCATGCTAATAATTTATTAACTATACAATTTATGTATTCATTCCCTTAATTATACTTACATTGCATTTAGTATTTCACCATTACAAAAATATTCTTCAAAGAACATACCTGTATAAATGTCTTCCTTTAGACATGCAAGCATTTTTTTTAGGGTACCTACTTACATACACCAAAAAGCGCTGGATTGCAGGATAGGTACACTATCACCTTTACCAGAAACTGCCTAATTGCTATAAAAAATTACTGTAATAATTTACTCTATCAGCAGTATTAAGAGAACTCTCATTTTTCTACACTCTTGTTATAAAATCAGGGTTAACATTTTTGTAGATCTGAAACATGTGACATATTGTTTTGTCTTTTTAAAAAATATATATTTTTTTTATTGATTTCAGAGAGGAAGGGAGAGGGAGAGAGAGAAATATCATTGATGAGAGGGAATTACAAAGCAAATGTAATTCCTGCACATCCCGTACTGGGGATCAAGCCTGCAACCCAGGCTTGTGCCCTTGGCTGGAATCAAACCCGGGATCCTTCAACACACAGCCCCAGGCTATACCCACTGATCCAAACCAACTACGGCTATTTTGCCTTAATGTGCATTTACCTGATGATTAATGAAGATTTGCTTTGTATTTCACTTTCTTTCCCCATTTTTTATAGGGTTGCTGTGTTTTCTTATTTAGTTCTTTGTATATTCTAGAAATGAACATTTTTAAAATTATATATTTTGTAAACATATTTTCCAAGTTTGTGCCTTTTAATTTGCCTAAAGTTATATAGAAGTTTTATTTATAATGTTAAATCAAATGTTTCGATTAGCATTTGTATTTCAATCATTTGACCACCAGTCATGAATATATACTTATGCATTTTCTTATAAATAAAGTATTTTATTTTGCCTTTCATATTTATACCTTTACTCACTTGTAGTTTATTTTTATGTATAATGCCAAATAATAACTTAATTTTTTCCTGCGTGGATTTGAGCTCCAGAATCATAAATTCATACTTACAAAGGCTCCTTATCTGTTCAATTAGGTTCAAAATCAGCTGAGTAAGTAAGGTCTTGCACAATATCTTTAACCGCATCCTTTGGCCTTATCTCTCACCACACCCGTCCATTTTCTTGTCAAACTAGACTCCTTATTGCAGTCACTCTCCTTGAAATGTGCCAAAACGATGCTGTCACTCTCTCCATACATCGTGCTCTCTTCCTGTCTTTTTTCCTTACTGAACTGTAAGCATCTTGTGAAAAAGATAGTATCCAATTCATCCGTGCATCTTCAACATTTAGCAGTGATTGAGTCGATTTTCAAATACTTTTCTTCAACTTTATTCTGAATTTAATTTGGGCCTTCTAGGTGGGCACTTACACCTAATATTATCCATATCCATACGTTTTACTTTCTCACACATAGAAATAAAAAGTTTCCTGTCTTTTACCTACTTACCATGAAAATAGTGATTCCAAATTTCAAAATTTTAACAAGAACCCTCAAAAGACGTTCAATGGCCGAAATTGGTTTGGCTCAAGGGTTAGGGCATCGGCCTGCGGACTGAAAGGTTCCAGGTTACCAGTACCTTGGTTGTGGGCACATCTACGGTAGGGGGTGTGCAGGAGGCAGCTGGTCGATGTTTCTAGCTCTCTGTCCCTCTCCCTTTCTCTTTGTAAAAATATCAATAAAATATATTTTTTAAAAAAGACGTTCAATGAACCGGAACCAAAGCCATCAGGCCTGCCTCCAGTTTACAGGACAAAGTCTGCAGACCATACTAATGGTGAGGTCGGTGAGCCTCTTCTGAGGGCCTCGCCTGGACTTGCCACTTTGCAGTCCCTCCTTGACTGGGTTCTGGAGGGAGGCCATTCACCTGGGCACACGTTCACATCCATCCTCCTTCCCTTCCCGCTGCTTTCCTCCAGATGCCTCGACGACCCTGCAAAGAAATGACAGGATGTGGAAACCAGCCCCTCGAGGTCGCAGCCTATCCTTCCACGGAACGCTGGAGTGCCCACGTGGCCCTTAGCATTCCTGACCCGCAAAGCTCTGGCCTTTGAAGCAGGAGCCGCAGTGGGCGCCAAGTTCTCAGGATCCCTCGCCTCCTCTCCAGCTGCCTGGTGACGGGGTCCCGCTGGGACCCAGGATCCTCCTCTTCGCGGGTCTGACCTCATCCCATGGGTTAACAGCTGCCAGGGGAGACCACCCGGTGCCCACCCAGCCGATTCCGAACGGGCGGGCGCACCAATCGCGGTTGAACCATGCAGCAGCGGGTGAACTCGCCTTGCGCGCCGGGACTACATTTCCCATAGGCCCCCGCGGCGGAGCCCCGCCCCCGCCGGACGCCCTCCAGCCGCCGCTCGGCCACGCAATCGCCGCAGCTGCCGCCGCTCGGGGCCAGCCGGCCGCAGAGCCTTTGAAAGACGGCGGGAGGCGGCCGGCGCCATGGCGAGCCCGGGACACCTGCTGTACGCGCTGGGCCTGCTGCTGTGCGCCGCGGGGACCCTCCGGCTGTCCGCGGCCCCTGCGTCCACCCAGAAGCCCATCATCGGTAAGAAGGCGCCGGGTCCGGCGTGGCGCCTCCGGCCACGGGCGGGCTGCGAGGCGGGCGGCGGCGGGTCCGGGGAGGACGGGGGAGCGGGGCGCCCTGAGCCCGCAGGCTCCGCGCGGGTGTGTACATCTTTGCCGAAACCACGCTGAAGCCTGGTTTGCTCTCCCAGGGCTTTACATAAAGCTGGGAGGGTGGAGAAAGCCTTGCAGAATGTTTTATGCTTGGGACACAGCTGGGGATTTCTGCGAATCAAGCGCATTCTGTGCATGCGTGTGTATTCATTAAAAAGTCCCTGGTGGAGGGTATGTTTCAAGATGCAATGCACACTGTCCGTATAAAAAAATCTAGACATTCAAGAAATGATGGTCTCCCTCCGGTTTTGTCACTTTGAGCAGTGGAGGGCGGCAGTGGCCCGTGTGATCCTAATGCCAGTTCTGTGTGGGTTTCAAATGAAGCATGCGTTATTCCGTTTCCAACACATTTGTATTTTAAAAAGTCAAGTCCGTTTGCTTTGTCAGAAGGAACCTTTGAGACAGGGCAGGAGAAGGCTACCTGGGATAAAAACTTGCCAGAAGTAATTTATGTCAACGGTTAAGATTGGTTTAATTTGTTACTAAATGCAAAGGAGAAGGGGGTCTTTTCCTTTATATTGGTAGTGTGCCCAATTTTCAAATGGGTTGTGTATGGGTATTTGGACAATGGACTGCCTTGTTTCCTAGCTGTGTAAGTTAGAGGTTAGATTCTCCAAGGAGCATGAACTCAAAATGTAATTCTGTGTGGTGGGTGGGGCAGTGTGGGTTCAGGGAGGAGGGGAACAAGAAGAGGGGTATTCTTTTCCCTTTTCTAGAAACAGTGGTAGTTCAGGGTCAACTGTAGAAAGAATGAATATGCTTTTGGCACCCTGATCAATTAAGACAAAATAGTTAACTGAACACCTACTACATGCAGAGCATTAAGTGAGGAAGTGCAAAGGATTCAAAGACAAAGAAGCCGAAAAAAAAAAAAAAGTTGTGAGATGGCTTTAAAGTAGGGGTGACATTTTGGTCAAGTTCTGAGGGATTTGGAACATAGCTTCAACTTTTCTCCCCAGACGGGGAAAGTGAGTGTGTGTGTGGAAGCAAGGGGAGGGGGATGAGTTGGTGCAACTTACCAGCTTGCTTGCTCCCTCCCTCCCTCTCCCTCTCCCTCTCCCTCTCCCTCCCCCTCCCTTTCCCTCTCCCCCTCCCTTTCCCTCTCCCTCTCCCTCTCTCCTCCTCTCCCTCTCTCCCCCCTCCCCCTCCCCCCTCCCCCCTCCCCCTCCCCCCCCTCCTCCTCCCTCCCCCCTCCCCCCTCCCCCTCCCCCTCCCCCTTCCCCCTCCCCTCCTCCCCCCTCCTCCCCTCCCCCCTTCTCCCTCTCTCCCTCTCTCCCTCTCTCCCTCTCTCCCTCTCTCCCTCTCCCCTCTACCTCCTCCCCCGCCTCTCATGTATTTTTCTCCTTCCTGGTGTCTTGTGTTCACATGTCTCAGTTCTCCTTTGTGGCACCTCACCCTCGCCTACCCTGTACCACTCCCATTTCCTATGACACTCCCTAATTTTTACCCTACCAAGTTTTATTTTCCTTAAGAGGATCCTACCTATCCAAGGGGGAGGCAAACAGTCATACTGAACAGATTTTGACATTTGGTATATATGAACCGAGTGTCTGAGAAAATGACAGTTGTAAGAAGCTGGGACTACGGAAGTGTTGTCTCATTCACCTGCAGAGACATTGAACGTGTTCCAGACCGTGGAGTAGTTAGTAATGGTTGCGGGCACAGGTGTGGTCTCTGGATAGGCGTGTTTTGGCGGGACTCAGTGTTATTCTGGGGCTGAGGTTCAGGTTGTGAGAGGCAGGCAGGGAGGTAGGTGGGGCAGAGCACAGAGGGTCTTGTCATAGGTATGAGAGCTTAGGAGCCCGTTGAAGGGCAGGGAGGTACACCCAGCAGAGAGGTACACCCTGCTGATCTGTCTCTCTGATCCCATGTTCTATCGCTTTCCCCTCTCGCTCACACAGGACTCCGTGTGATGTGACGGGCACACGCCTTTGTACTTGCTGTTCCCTCACACTGGATCTCTCGTCCTCCAGGTATCTGCATATGCCTTGCCCCCTCCCCTCTCATAGGTCCTGGATCAAATGCCACGTTCTACCTTCTCAGGAAGGACTTGTCTCACAAGAGATCCTCTTTAGATGGACACACTCCAAACACACACCTCTTCCTCTGCTTTACTTTTCTCCATAGCACTATGTGTTTTATCTTGTTTATTTTTTGTCTTCTCTCCTTTCCCTCCCACACACTGGAATTAAAGCCAGCAGGGCAGTGATTTTTATTTGTTTTATTCATTTATGTGTCCCCAGCACCTAGTTCAGTGCCTGCTCTGTGGTGTGATTTTTGTATTATATACTATGTGAGTGAGTGAGGAGTGAGTGAATGAATGGTGATACCAGGTTTCTTACCATGTGGAGAACTGGTTGGAGATGGTGGGGGTTGTTTAAGAAAGTTGGAGAGAGACCTTTTTAGAGGCTATTATAATAGCTGGGGGCCGGGGGAGGCAAAATGTTCCTTTGGATTGGCGCAGTTTTGCTGATGTTTGGAGAGATGTGGATAGAAGATATTTCCACTCTGGCTTTGTTGTCAAGGAAACAGTGTGTCTTTGAGTGTGTGTGTGTGGGAAGGAAGAGGCCTCCTTCTAGATGGAAGGATCCGTATGTGCTGTGAGACCCCCTGCAGATCTAAGGCTGCGTGAAGGAGGCTGGTGCTCGTGTCAGCGTGCGTTGGGGACTTATTTGGCCTCCCTGATGAGGGCAGAGAGAGGAAGCTACTCAGATCAGCTTCCACTTTCCTGTGGGGGGCTGTTTCTAAATGGCAGGTTCCTGAGTGGAGGAGCTGGGGATTAAGAAATTAAAGGAAAAAAAAAAAAGTGACCAAGAGGCAGAAATAGATTCAAGCTGGGACCCGGGTGGGAGGCTGCCATTCTGATGGAGAGACAGTCAACATCCACCACACACAACACAGCGCATTTATTTATTTCCAAAGGAATAAAGGGGGGTTTCCCTGAAAAGCTTAGAATCAAAGGAGTTTTGGGTGTGTCCAGGTCCTACTCATTCCCTCACTCCTGGGATTTAGCATATCAAGATCTGGGTTAGTCAAGATCCTATTCTTTCTCACTCCCAGCACCTGGATAAAGATAAGAAATCTTTATCCTACTGAGGACTTCCTAGGACATTTTGGGGAAACAGGTTCCAGGGCGTGGCTCTGCCTACACCTTGAGTTCAGCTGACATTAATTTAAATGTCATCCATGTGCATTCCCAGGGGGCCCTCTACACTTCCCTTTTATCAAGTTTATGGGTGCAATTGCAGGAGAAGCTTCATATTTAATTCTGGGAATTAAATGAGGAAAGCACAGCAGTCCACCTGTATTTGTAAAGAATATGTTCATTCCAAGACCCCCAATGGATACTTGAAATCATGGATAATACCAAACCCTAAATATCCAATATATTTTCATACATACATATTGTACAATATGTATGTATGTATATATGATAAATTTTAACTTATAAGTTAGACTT